TTGCACCTGGCACGGGCACCGTAGCCAGCCCGTGCCCCTTTAAGGGGTCTGGGGCCGGGAGGGGGGCAGACGAGTTTCCCTGGTGTTGGCCAGAGTGGCCACCAGGGAAAGCTGGGGAGGGCTAGCCTCCCACTAGTTCGAATTAAGGGTCTACACAGCCCTTAATTCGAACTAGTAAGTTCGAACTAGGCTTAATCCTCGTGGAATGAGTTTTACCTAGTTCAAACTAAGCGCTCCGTTGTTCAAATTAAATTCGAACTAACAGAGCGCTAGTGTAGCGCCTATGAAAGTTAGTTCGAACTAACGTCCATTAGTTCGAACTAACTTTGTAGTGTAGACATACTCTAAGGGCTTGGAGGACGGCTTCTACGTGCTGTAAGTGTTCTTCACATGTTTGGCTGTACACGACTATATCATCAATATAGGCGGCTGCCCACCGGCCTTGTTCCCTTAGTACCTGATCCATGAGGCGTTGAAATGTGGCAGCGGCCCCGTGGAGGCTGAATGGCATCTGGGTAAAGTGGTACAAACCAAAAGGGGTCGAAAAGGCCGTTTTCTCCTGGGAGGTCGGTGAGAGGGGGATCTGCCAATACCCGCGGGTCAGATCAAGGGTAGATAGATACCGGGCTCCCCCCAGCTGGTCTAACAGATTGTCCACCCGTGGCATGGGGTAGGCATCGAACCGCGAAAGAGCATTAACTTGCGGAAGTCAATGCAAAAACGCGCAGACTCGTCTGGCTTCAGGACGAGCACTATAGGACTGCGCCATTCACTGAAGGACTCCTCTACCATCCCCCATCGGACCATTTTCTGTAATTCTTCCCGTACTGTCTCTCACATCCGCTGGGGCACGGGACGTACCTGGTCGCGTATTTTCTTCTGGGGCTCCATTTCAATGTGGTGGTGGATAAGGGCCGTCAGCCCCGGTTTTTCTGTTAAGACGTCCGCGAAGGTATGGAGTAGCGTCTTGAGGCCCTCTCGTTGGCTTTCGGTGAGCTCATCCCCATTTTCTGTAATTCTTCCCGTACTGTCTCTCACATCCGCTGGGGCACGGGACGTACCTGGTCGCGTATTTTCTTCTGGGGCTCCATTTCAATGTGGTGGTGGATAAGGGCCGTCAGCCCCGGTTTTTCTGTTAAGACGTCCGCGAAGGTATGGAGTAGCGTCTTGAGGCCCTCTCGTTGGCTTTCGGTGAGCTCATCCCCTATTTGGAAGCCACGGGGGGGGGGGTTTCGAGCCCCGCCCCGGGAGCCCGGGGGGGGGGGGTTTCGGGCCCCTCCCCTGGGCCCAATTCCGGGTCGGGGGGTATGGGGCTAACTAGGAGGGCCTCCCGTTGTTTCCAGGCTTTTAAAGAGATTTACATGATACACCCGGGTAGCTCTTCGCCTACCAGACAGCTTTACCTTGTAATCCACCTCCCCCACCCTTTCCAAAATTTTGAAGCGCCCTTGCCACCAATTTTGACCCCGGGGTGGGGAGTAACACCAGTACTCACTGTCCGGGTTCAAAAACCCTCAACCGGGACCCCCGGTTATAGTATCGGGCCTGTACCTCTTGCTCGTGTTCCAGGTTAGCCTTTGCGAACTCCCGCAACCTGTGCAATCTCTCCTGTAGGTCTAGTATATACTGCACAGACCCTTTTACTCGGGTCCCTAGTTCCTCCCAATTTTCCTGTATAATGTCTAGTATCCCTCGGGGGTGTCTCCTGAACAATAACTCGAATGGAGAAAATCCTGTGGAAGCTTGCGGGACCTCTCGCACTTCGAACAACAGGGCAGGCAACAGAGTGTCCCAGTCCCTTGGCTCCTGCTCCACAAATTTCTATAACATTTCTTTCAAGGTCCTGTTAAAATGCTCTACCAACCTGTCTGTCTGCGGGTGGTAGACTGCCGTTTTCAACCGCCCAATACTTAACTATTTACACAACTCATTCATTAATTTCGAGATAAAGTTAGTCCCTTGGTCCGTTAGGATTTCCTTGGGTAGCCCAACGCGGGAAAAAATCTTCATCAGCTCGGCGGCCAATGTCGCCACGTGTACATTAGGAAGAGGTACCGCCTCCGGATATCGCGTCGCGTAGTCCAACAGCACTAAGATGTACTGGTAGCCCGTGCGAGACTTCTCAAGCGGCCCCACTATGTCCATGGCCACCCGTGAGAAGGGTATCCCCACCACTGGTAGGGACACCAGGGGCACCTTGGGTACCCCTCGAGGCCCCACTTTCTGGCATTCGGGGCATGAGGAAGAAAACTCCTGCACCTCCCGGAATACTCCGGGCCAATAAAACCGGCGCACCAAGTGCTGTACCGTTTTTTCGGATCCTAGGTGTCCTGCCCAGGGATTGGCGTGGGCGAGCTCCATAAGCCGCAGCCGGTACCGTCTTAGTACTAACAACTGCCTCACTTCCGGTAGCCCCTCCCTACCTTCCTCCACTCGGTAAAACCAGTCGGCGCATACCTCAAAGTGTGGTCCAGTCG